GAGGGGGGGAGGGGTCAGTGATGGAATGATCTGCAGAATATATCAATATGGATCTATCAGGGGGAGATGGGACAGAGCAATGTTCTGCAGATATCTAGAGATGTCAGGGATGGAATAATCTGCAGAATATATCAATATGGATCTGTCAGGAGGGAGATGGGATGGAGCAATGTTCTGCAGATCTCAGGAGAGATATGGGATGGTGCGATGGTCTGCAGATCTCAGGAGAGATATTGGATGGTGCGATGGTCTGCAGATCTCAGGAGAGATATGGGATGGTGCGATGGTCTGCAGATCTCAGGAGAGATATGGGATGGAGCAATGTTCTGCAGATCTCAGGAGAGATATTGGATGGTGCAATGGTCTGCAGATTTCAGGAGAGATATGGGATGGGGCAATGGTCTGCACATCTCAGGAGAGATATGGGATGGTGCAATGGTCTGCAGATCTCATGAGAGATATGGGATGGTGCAATGGTCTGCAGATCTCAGGAGAGATATGGGATGGTGCGATGGTCTGCAGATCTCAGGAGAGATATGGGATGGTGCGATGGTCTGCAGATCTCAGGAGAGATATTGGATGGTGCGATGGTCTGCAGATCTCAGGAGAGATATTGGATGGTGCGATGGTCTGCAGATCTCAGGAGAGGTCAGTGGTGGAATAATCTGCAGAATATATCAATATGGATCTGCCAAAAAGACTCTTTACATGGAGCGCGATTAGCCGAGGCGCCTTTTACGGCTCACGCGGTTACATAACGCGCCGCACGTTCCCCGTTTCTCGCCTCCTAATGCCACTTTAGGGGCCCCGATTGAGCGGTAATGATGGCGCTGGTAATACAATGGAAGCGCGAGCACACCGGCGCTCTCCCGGCGGCCGGCTGCTTTTTAACCACACGCCGTTTAAGTCCCCGGCACAAAGAATTAGAGGAGTCGAGAGCGGTGGACGGGGGGTCCGCGATATCCTCCCGCCGCCGGCCTCGGCACGTGGAACCCTGAGATGCGCCGGTGGTAATAAAGTCGTCGCGGGAGTGAGGAAAATGACTCCCAATTATCTCCCCGCCAGATGGAAGTAAATGAAGTCGGCGAGGCCGGTGAGCGCGCCGCGCCCCTCCCGGAGGACGCTCATTTCAGGCCATTTCCGAAGGCCCAAATTGAGGCGAAATTGGCCGGAGATGGCGGAGAAGCGGCTCGCGGTGCGGGGGGAAAGCGACTCGGCGCCTGTAATTAAATGGATTGGCGCGGCGGGGCGCCGGCTATTTAGGTCGAAGGGAAAAGCAGACGCTTATTCTGAGGGGCGCAGCCGGCTGCACAACCAATATCACCGCCATAACGGCCCGATCCTGTGATCTGGTAAAATCCTGAACCCGTTTTAAATCTGGACCCAAGTCCATAACACCGGCTATGTGGTCACATGACCAGCCCACACGCAGCTACACCAGCCAGCTCCGCATTCCCTATTCCCTCGGAAACACGGTTCAGGTCACATGACTTCCCTGTAGGTTGCTGCCGCCGCGGACGATCCGGTGTTCTGGTAGAATCCTGGACCCGTTAGAAATCTGGACCCAAGCCCATAACACTGGCTGTGTGGTCACATGACCAGCCCACACGCAGCTACACCAGCCAGCTCCGCATTCCCTGTTCCCTCGGAAACGCGATTCAGGTCACATGACTTCCCTGCAGGTTGCTGCCGCCGCGGACGATCCGATGTTCTGGTAGAATCCTGGACCTGTTAGAAATCTGGACCCACGCCCATAACACCGGCTATATGTGGTCACATGACCATCCCACACGCAGCTACACCAGCCAGCTCTGCATTTCCTGTTCCTTTGTAAA